AACCATCATCGCTCGGTCGGCAGGGCCAGTAGTCAAGCGTCTCTCCGCCGAGGAGTTCAAACGCCGGCGTGAGAAAGGCATTTGTTTTAAATGCGAAGAAAAGTTTACACCAGGCCATCAATGTAAGCAGGCTATTGTGATAGAGGTTTCTAATTCTGATGAAGAGGAATCCGAGGTCGAGGAAGAACCAAAGCAAGAGGACAAGGTTGAAGTGTTCGAAGAGGAAGCTGAAATTTCGATGCACGCAATGGCAGGGATTAGAGGGCTAAGGACGATGTGACTGCCAGCTTGGGTCAAGGATCGTAGGGTGATCGTGCTCGTACACAACGGGTCATCACACAACTTCATTAATGCCGACTTGTCTCAGAAGCTGAAGTTGCCAACCACGAAGATTGAGCCCTTTGAAGTTCGTGTAGCCAATAGGAAAAGACTACAATGCACTGAGTCGTTTCGCAAGGTGCCGATCAAGTTCCAAGGGGTTACTGTGAAGGCTGATCTCTATGCTTTACCCCTGGTCGGGCCTGACGTCGTTCTAGGAGTACAATGGCTCGAAGGATTAGGCAAAGTGACCACCGACCACCGAACCGGAGTTATGGAGTTCAAATCTGGAGGTCGGCAAGTCACACTAAGCGCTGGCACTGAAAAAAGGTACCAAAGAAGTTGGGTTGAAGAGTATTGAAAGAGTTTGGCGAAGTGGCGGCCAAATATTCGCAGTAGTGGTCGAGAGTAAGAATACACACACGGAGGAGGCCGAGCAACAGCAAGGCGATGTGCACGAGCTTCTCAAGGAATTCGAAGGAGTACTAGACAAACCCAAGGGACTCCCACCCCACCGAGAGTTCGACCACCGCATACCTCTGGTCAATAAGCAGCTTGCAGTACACGTTCATCCCTATAGGTACGCTCACTTTCAGAAAACTGAGATCGAAAGGCAAGTGGCTGAGATGTTAGAGTCTGGGTTAGTTCAGCATAGCTCGAGTCCATTTTCGTCGCCAGTACTGTTAGCTAAGAAGAAGGACGGAACGTGAAGGTTTTGTACTGACTATCGGGCTCTGAATGCCGCGACCATCAAGGATCGACTCCCTATTCCTAGTGTCGAGGACATGCTCGATGAGTTAGCAGGATCACGTTACTTCTCAAAGCTTGACGTGAGAGCCGGCTATCACCAGATTCGACTCTACAAAACTGATATTCCGAAGACAACCTTTCGTACGCACCAGGGACATTATGAGTATTTGGTGATGCCATTAGGGCTGTGCAACACCCCATCTACTTTCCAATTTGCTATGAATTCCATCTTCAAGGAGTACCTACGTAAGTTTGTCTTAGTATTCTTTGATGATATCCTGGTTTATTCAAAGTCATGGTCAGATCATCTAGAACATTTGAGAGTGGTGCTTGAAGTCTTGGAGGCTAACTCATTTCATATCAAGCCGTCCAAGTGTTCATTCGGGCAGGAGATGGTCGAGTACCTTGGCCACTTTATATCTCACAATGGCGTGAAGGTGGATCTGAGGAAAATTGAGGCTATGGTCGACTGGCCTAAGCCAACGAGTCTCACGCAACTGAGAGGATTCCTAGGACTCACAGGTTACTACAGGAAGTTCGTAAAAGATTATGGAACCATCGCCAAGCCACTTACGGAGATGACCAAGAAAGGAGGGTTCACATGGACCAAGGCTAGCAAGAAGGCATTTGAGAAACTG